GATGCAGGTGAAGGTGTATTGTATGTGCAGTTGTAATACGAAACAATTACGGATAAAAATATGGAAGAAAAAAACATGAAGAAGAGATAATTATAATAGATAGAAGGTGAAACGAAGTTCGTACTGTATTTTTTTGTATAACTTTGAGATTTTTATAATAAAAACAAAAAAGTCTCTTTGAATTTCTAAGAAATGATGTTTCTTGTTTAATTTATGTTTTTGACTAGATTTTGGACGATTCTTTTTCTATTGTTACTTATTTTTCATTAATCTATAGTTAAATTAAAACTAAAAAATTATTCTAATTGTTATATGTATATTTCTTTCTTTTCACATAATTTGTGTCATTCTAGCGTATGTATTTTTATTGAACAATATTAGATTCATTTTTTAGCACATAAAAAATAACTTAAGACAATTTATATATTGTAGTTCTTCAAGGACTAGAGAATTTTTAGTATTTAAACTATGAACATTCTATTAGTGAAGTAAGTATGGCATTTTACACACTGTTCTCTCTAATCTCTGCAATTGCATCAAGAGATAGGAAACATGTTCAATTTTAAAAACAGCTTCTCATTTTGTCGTCAACTATAATCAATCAATCAATCTATAGGATGAAGATGTCATCCTATTCTATTAAATATAGAATTCAAAATAGTAGTGTGCATATAGAATTCAGTAACAAAATTGAAAATAAGTGTCAATATTTTTCTTTTTTCTTCTTCTCTCTAATCCAAAATAAATGAAATATGAGATAAAGAAAAATAGATTATTGGTCCGAGACATATCCATAGTCAAAATAATCAAAAAAACAAAAAATTTATTCATATTTATTTTCGTTGAAATTATCTTTTGTTTTTTTTTAAATTTTTATAAATTGTCATGTTATGAATAAAGAAAATGAGACGAAAAGAAAAACATTAAAAAACGCATATACATCTTGATGATGGTAAATAGCGACAAAGAAAAAAAAATCGTATTCAATCGATTTTCATATTTCAATTTGTTTCATAAATAATCAATTAAAATTAGTATTAACAGTACACTTAAAACTATATTACATTCATTCCATCCATACAAATTAATAGACATATACTCAAGATAGAAAGAAAAAAAAATGGACAAAAACAAAAACATAATTGTCTTCCATTTTTAATCTTAAAAAATGAAAAAAAAAAAAAACTTTATATTTATTAGTTTTATAAAATATTGTTACTTTAACAAAAAGATTTCATTAAATATTCTTCTATACTTATATATTCTATTTTTAAAAGAATGTTACATCATAATGTAAACTAAATTATTACCTGTCAAAATACTCAGAAATAATCCAAAGCGGATTGGTGGTATCCAAAGCTTAGAGAAAATATGATCAAAAAACTAATGATCAAATTTGAATAAATCTTGGATTTTTTTTTCTTTTTTGGTGTTTATTCAAAAATGAAGTTCGTTTTTCAGAATAGCTCTTATATCTGGGCAAATATGATTACTTTTTTTTCTTATTTTTGACACTAACTATTTGACAATGAACTAAAAATAGATTTAATTTCATTTTTAACTTAAATTTATCTAGTTTCTGTTACAATCAGAAGATAGACTAATAAATTTTATATACATAATAATGTATATTCACGGAAAGTATCGTAACAAACAAAAGGGAGAGAGAGAGAGAAGAAGAATATGGTCGATTGGATATATGTCTGTATTCTAGTTAAGTGTATATGTGAACAAACTACATTCATCTCTTGTTTTTTTAATAAACAAAACCTTGTATAACAATGTGATAATAACATATAGAGAATATTATGGAAAGACAAAGCAAAAAACGAGACAACATATTGAGTGATTTTACTAATGGAAGAATATTACATGAATAGTCAAGCCTCTCAGCGAAATAAACGTTAGTTAGTATCATAATGATGGTACTAAACAATTTAGACGAAAAAAGTAATTGTCGTTAGTTGTATCGTTTTTAATCATACAAATCGAATATAAGAATATTTTTACTTTATATGTTAAAGTTGAGAAATATTCACTATTTTGAATTTCAATCTTTTTTTCTTGTTCAAAAATGAATAACTACAATTCTCAAGTAAAATATGTATATAAGTAGTAATCATCTTTCAATAAAAGAAGAAAAATTAACATTTTCAATTCAACTTGATATTGTTACTGAATATCACAACAGCACTTAAACGTTTTTAATAAATGCTCTTTTTTTACCGCCCCTCCCCGTATAAAGTAAAGTTTAGAAATAACAGCGATTCTAGACTACTCGTCAAACAAAAAAGCAACAACAACAGCATTTTGTCGTACAAAACGTCTTTCATGTATGTTTGATTTTTACTAAACATTGTTTCCTATCGTCTTGATAAATTACTTGAAGTTCATATCGTACAATTTTGCTGTAAGCTTGTTGAAATTTTTATGCCTGTAAAAGATGACAAACAAAAAGTTTATCCCTTACCCCTGCTATTTGTTTCGTCGAACGTGTCATCTTTCTTATATAAAAACTCTATATTAAAACACTTTCATTTGAATTTAATAAAAACAAAACAAAAAAATATAGATATGGTTTATTTAAATGATCATTATTTAATAAAACTGGAACAATAAAAAAAACCAATAACATCCGATTAAAATAATATTAAACGTAAGCATTTATACTTCATACTGGACAACAGTAGTGTGTGTGTGTGTGTGAATGTGTACATATTGTTTATATAAAAAGAGAAAACAAAAAACAGAAATAATTCCACCTAATATGGACAATTTATCTTTTATGCCGAAGGTAAGAAAGAAGAGAAAGAGAGAAAAATAATATACTTTTTATGGCACACATACATAGAACATTCTTTCTTACATTTTATTTTGTGTTGAACTTATAATAATGTCAACTGATTGTTTATTTATTATATCTGTTTTTTATTCTCTTTCTTCTCTTCCGTGCTGGCCAGCGATCAAAAAGAGAAAAAAACTGGTGTATAGTAACAACAATAACAACAGTATAAGGTATAAAGATAGATGAATAGAACAATCTCTTTCTCTCTCTCTCTCTCTCTCCTGTCGCTCTCCATCAATTTGATATACACACGTCCATCTAGTGATATACTTAACAAAGGACATTTAGAGAAAAGGATACGTACGCATTGAATAAGATATAGAGAAAACTAACAAATAATAAATTTGATAGAGATTTATGTATCCATCCTATACATGTAACAGAGTTTCTGAAAAGTAAAAACAAATAATTATCATATCAACGCGCATATTCTCACAACTAAGATTTTTTATCAAAATAATTTCCAATTGTTACTTTATCATTTTACATAACGTTATAAATTAAATATTCATTAGTTCAAGACTTTTTACTATTCATCGTGCCATACTAAATTATTTGTAAAACTTTTAGAAAATTTATTAAACATATCAAGTTAAATGTCAAAATGACTGTTTAACATTATTCTTAACTAAATAAATCTTGTTGGTAGCTTGTATCATTTCATTATCAGCTTAGAGAGCACAAAATTTTTTCTGTCCAAGATGAAAAATTATTTGATGAGATAAATACAGGTATCAAATCTATCATTTATCATTAGATGATTTGTATATGATTCTACACTCATCATTCTCTCATTAAAAAGTAAACTCAATTTTTCAAATATACTAATAAAAACAAAAAACAGATTTTTTGTTTTCCATTGAAAAAAATGGAGAACAAAGTGCAATGAGAGTACATATGAAGAGTCAATAATGTTTCTCGATAGATACAAGAAAACGAACACGTCTTTTGATTTGTTTTTTTTTCTTCTTTCTTTCTTTCTTTATTGAAAAAATTTTATTTGTCGTAGAAGAAATCTACATAATAAACGTATGCAGAACTAATTAGAAATGCAAAATAATGGAAGTTTATGTTGATATTGATCAATTGTTTTTCTACTACTATATTCGAAATAAAGTCTCTATTTCTGTTTGTTGTTGTCGAAAAAGAAGAAGAAGAAAAACCATCATTGTCTTTAATAAAATAAAAAAAAACACCTAAATACGCATACAATTAATAAATAATCTTCTAGAAAATTGTTATTTTCTTATATCTCTTGTAATCTATTTACAAAGTAAACACTTTTTTCTTTTTGCTCAATCAAAGAGAATAGATGAAAAACTAACGCTAGTTGACAAAAGTTTAATAAGAGCTTAACAACACTTTTGATTATCATAAGCCAAAAGTTCACTTAGACACATTGTTATTGAGAATATCAAAAACTTTTAAATGATCATATTATTTACAAGATTTCAATATATCGTTCTACTGCTGATGCAATAACAAAATAAATATTTTTAGAAAATTATGTCAATAGATGGCATGCTAAGTTTAATGCCTATATTTAGTTTAATTCTAGTTAAAAAATCGAATATATGATATAGGAAAAAAATCCTAATGACAAGTACAATTTTCGTTTATCATTCTACATTTTCGGTTTTTTCATTTTACAAGGACTATTGTTCTATTTGTGAATAGTTTTCTTTTTATTGATCACAAAGGAAAACATTTATTGTATGAGTTCAACAATCATTATTTTAAAACTTTTATTTAAAACAGGAGCTTTCGATTACAACTGTAATCATCGTCAGCTACATTTAGGCCTAAAATGTAGCTGACGATGATTACAGTTGTAATCGAAAGCTCCTGTTTTAAATAAAAGTTTTAAAATAATGATTGTTGAACTCATACAATTAATGTTTTCCTTTATGAAATTATTATCAACAAACAATGTGGGAATAGTTTATCGATCACATGCGGACGATGAATGTGAATGATTTTTAAGCGAGTAAACCTGGTTTTGCAGATGCATTAATTCACATCGATGATAAAGAAAAAATTTAATTTATGATCAAGTATAAAAGGACTATAAATAACAAGAGTCAAAACACAATTCTAAAACTCATTTTTAATACATTTCACCTACACCTTCATATAACAAATATCAACGACAATAATGTTCAAACTTATCGTATTAGCCGTTTTATTTACAATGGGTTATTCACAATTGACCGGTGGTTATACAAACCGTCCAGATTTAATTCATAGTACATTGGCCGCACAATTTGTTAAATTAGCAAAAAGCAAAATTGAAGGTGAAAATAATCTATATTTAGTTAATGACAAAGTCACCCATGTAGAAACACAAGTGGTTGCTGGTATTAATTATAAAATTACTTTCACAGCTGATTCATTACTAACATCAAGTTCCGTTATATGTACCGCTGTTGTCTATCAAAATTTCTCCGGTGCACAAAAACTAACAAGTACAGAATGTATTTAAAATATCGTCAAGTAATGTTTCTATAGAACAGATTTATTTGTGAATGTATGAATTGTGACGAGTTTTTGAAATAAAAAAAATAAAAACATTTTCGACTTTTCTTTGATGAACAAGCTATTTATTGATAATAACTGACTGATAATCACTGCTGAATTAATAGGATCACTTCTCATGTAAAAGAAACAGAAGAAATATGAAAATTTACGATGTCTCTCTCTTATCTTCTTCTGAAACAATTAACAAACAAAAACAACATAACACTACATCGATAGCATTTATCATTTACCATGTTTGTCGACGTGTTCTCCTGTTCCTGTTGATCTTTGTTTACTACCATTGTTTTTATGTGATCAACATAATTTATTGTTCATTTTGATTATATACAAAAAAAAAAAGTAATCATATGAAACAAAACGTATATATTTTATATTGAGTGAGAAAACTAGTGTTTCTGGCAAGAGAATTATACCGTAAAAAGCAACTGAAGCAATCAATACACAAGAAATTTATAAGAACAAAAGAACTTTCTTTTTTTCTCTTTTTGTATGTGTCGGTGCTTTTGTGTTCTTTTTTTTTTCTTCTTGCTGTTAAGAACATGATTAATAATTTATAACTAAATGGAATATACTTCATACAAAGTCAAAAAACTGAATTTCCGTTCTGTGAAACGAGTAGAAAAAACATAATAAAGTTCATGGTCGTTTGTCAAAAGGTATTTGAAATCAATAAACAATATACTTCAACTAATAAAAGATCATCGAACTTGAATGTAGAACTTTAAAAAAAAAGAGAGAGTAATATCTGACTGCTTGTTGCTTAAGTAGATGATCGTAGATAATTAAAGATGTTAATACTTTCTAAATAAGAATATTTTCATGTCAAGTTCATGCTGCGGTTATGTGGCAACAATATCGAAAACTTTTGTAAAAATATTGAAGAATATATAGAAATTTTATTCTCACGAGAGATGAAGTATTAATGGGTTGGTGAACGATAGGAGAAAAACAACAAGCCATGAATTATGGATAATGAAATAGTATTGTGTTTTTTCTTTTTCCTATTTCTTTCTCTCTCTGTCTCTCTCCCCACCACACACACACACAGATATATCAATTATTCATTGCAAATGGCAATATTAATGAAAATAATCAATCAAAATGAACAATAGGCAATAAATAACTATCCTATTTTTCTAAGCATAAATACCTGGTTTGTCCATGGTGAATTTATCGGTGTTGCATAATATGAAGTGCCATTTATTAACTGATCATCTGGTATATAATGATGGCTATGATCTATATATTGTGGACTGGATAACATGATCTAAGATAAAATACACTAAACTAGTAAGCACATGTCAAAAAGCAAAAAATTTGCGAATCTCTAAGTTAATAGCAGGATTATAGCGTGTCCTATCAAAAAATGAACTGCAGTCAAAAAAGACAAACATATTTCCAGGCAATAGTCTTATATTGACCCAAAATAGATAAACAAGTTAATGCTTTATTTTCTAATATCTTTAACAACGTTAAACTTTAACAAAACAAATGAAGTGTGATACTGTGTACCATTTTTAATCACTGTGCGTATTCTAGCAAAACAACAAAAGAAAACAAGAATATAAAAATAGAAAGAGACAATTGCCTAGTAAAAAAACACACAAAAACAACAACAATAATAATTCATTTGTTTCAGATAATATGAAACAAAAATATCTAGTGTCATTCTTATTTTGTAGATCTTTTAACAAACACATACATTTACAAGAGTACAATTGTGATAAAAAATAGAGTAGAAAAAGTGATGCTTCGAGATTGTGATAGTCAATCATTTCAAGATTGTCAGAATTGCGTTATTCCAGTAGATCTATACTAAATAGTTCATTAGTGAGATATCTCAGTTTTTTTTTCTCAACAAATTTGGAATACAAAATTCATCCGTTTCCATGTGCATACTAAAAGAAGATATTGCACGAAAATAACAGATGAAAAGATTGCCTAATTTTACCTACGGATTTCAAATTATCGCTCTTCTTCTGCTCTCCAAGCAACTTTTTTAACATGACTGTCTAATGCATAACGTAATTTTGTGTCAATCATTGCTTCTGTTAATGTTCCATCTTCAGATGCATATGCAGTTGCCTAAAACGAGACTAATACAACATATAGATGAAACGAGCTTTATGACGTTGAACATACTTGACATGCCGCTAGTAATTTTGCTATTTCACGTCCAGAAAATCCATCCGTTTTTTGTGCTAATTCTTCACATTTTTTCTCGAAATCAAATGAATCAATTTTGATTTTGCTAAAATGGAAAATAACAAATTGGTATATAACGCAAGAGTTTTTGTAATAAAGGGTACTCTATTTTCTTTACCGTTTTCGTTCAGCTGACTGTAATATATAACTATCAAAGTATAAGTATGTCATACGCCGACGTTCTTCTATACTGGGTAAATTAAATTGCACCATTTCATCAAGTCGATCATTCACAGCCCAATCAAACTGCTCGGGTTCATTACTGGCTAATACCATCATGAAACTAAAATATAACAATTAATTATTTTCACTATGACATAAATCAATTTCTATTAGTCTACTTTAAGGTTTACTTTTTCTGTTCTTTATTAGATCTTACCGAGTTGATTGTTCACCAGTTCTATATAGAAATGCGTTCAATGCTGCGCGCATATCTTCACTAATTTTTTCCTGTATAAAAATCGAACAATCTATAAAGATCAGATTTTGCAGAGATTTAATAGTATTTCTTACTGTGGCACGTTTTTTCAGAAATGCATCGGCTTCGTCAATAAATAATAACAGTCCACGTCTACTTGTTTGTGACCAATCGAATACTTTGTGAATAGCTGTAACTGCATCCCGACCCAATGGAGCCACATCACCGCCCGTCATTATCGCATAATCAAGCCCAGAATGTGCAGCTAGTTTCTAGAAAACAAATTAATAACTCAACACAAAAGAGAAATGCATGTTCTACGTACTTTAGCGAATAATGTTTTCCCAGTTCCTGGTGGTCCCTGCAACAAAATAAAAGAATTACCGATAAGTTTATGATAAGACAAATTTGAGATTGCTTACATGCATTAATAAATTTCGAAATAGGCCACGATTTTTCTTCGTGAAACGTGTTGCTATTGCTATTTCTCTCAAATGTGATTCTAACATTGGATCTAACACAACACCTTTTAATGAATCTTCTGCTTTTGTAAAATAATGTCTTATTGTTTTGAATGGTGCACGAAATGGTGTAAGAAATGTTGTTCGCGATGTTTCACGTATCAATGGTGGTTTGCCTAATCGAGACTCGATATATTTCACAGCTGTTTGCGTGCCACCTCTTGTCGTGTAAATACCTAATGCCAACAATGTAATACCTCCAGCCTAGAATATAATAAGAATTATTTTGTAATAAAGGATGAATAATGGTTGTTAAAAAAACATACTGCAAGAAGAACTTTTGACGGACTTTCAAGCAATGTTGTTATTCCTTGTCCCACTACACTACCAGCTGTTTTTATACCTTCTAATACGGTTTTACGTTCTTGTTCTGCTTTTAATTTAATTTGTTCGAGGTAAAGTTCACGATTTTCACGTTCAATTTGCGCTTTTCCTTTTAATTCGGCTTCTAAACGTTTCATTTCGTATTGGTGCCGCACTTGTTCAGCATATTCGATCGATCCTGGAAACATGAACATACAATATCGAATCATTTAATGTTTAGTTTATCTAAAATTACGTTGTCGTGTGTTTTCTTGCTTTTCTACAGATTCTTCTTGCCGTCTTCTTTCTTCTTCTTTTACACGTGCCTAAACACACACATTCATTCGAACAACAACATCTAAAGTGCTATGAGAAAACTCACCTGCTCATACTGCTGATCTTGCATTCGTTTTCGAGCTAACTGATCTTGAAATCGTGCACGCTATAAAGAAAAATTAATCATACAGATGTTCAGATTACATTATGTTGAGATTAATTCTCAACATACTTCGTTTGCTTTCTGGGTTTCTATTTCCATCGTACGACGTTTTTCTTCATTTAACTGACGTTGATGTTGAAAACGAATTGCTTCTTCATGTTGTGAATATTCCTATATGAAAGGCGTAGTAACTTTAAACTGTTATAAACAATATTACGGGAGTTAACATACTTTCATTTGTTTTTGAATTTCTAACTGTTTCGTTTGTTCTTGTAATCTAACGACGTCAAATGCTTGAGTGGCATATTCTAGAAAGAGAAAACTTTATATCTGATTTTCGAAAATAAATAATCGTTCATACGTACGTGAACGCTCTAAAACTTTAGCAGCAGTTGCAGCCCTTTCCAATGCGGTTGAGTCGAATTTATACACAGATTCACGTCCTGCAAATGACTTGTTATCCGTCGGTTTATTGTCATTTGATGATGAAGCATCGCTCACACCTCCAGTTTCACTAACTGAAGGAGGAGAAGTAGATGATGACTTTTTATAACCAAATAGCCAAGACATCTGAAATCAATTTCTAACATAGAATAAGTACCAAAAATAAATAATCAAATTAGATATTAACTTCTGGAAAACTAATTGATTAATCTATTTATCAGTCCAAAGATGATAAAGAAGTAAAAGTGAACGAAAGTGTAGTAACAAAAGTCATATATCTGATAAAACGCAAATATTCACATGGCCGTTCTTAGAATGTATGATTGTAATAAAATATATCTTTTACATTCAGCAACAGTGAACATTTTCTTTTGTCAATGGAAATAAGCACCAGTTGCCAAACAAAACTCTTGAACTAGTTTGATAAGATGAGTAATGGAACAAAGAGTCGAACGATTGAGATAAACCGACTTTAAGTTTCTTATGTGAACTCACCACATTACAAGAGCGAAACCTTCAATCCCAGTAGGGCTTTCACTGCGAGAGCGAAGAGTATATTCTAACTGTGTATTCAACTGTATCTTAAGAGCATCGGAATTATGTTTATAGTGTAATACGCCTGCAGATTTCGTCAGCAATCCCAAGAGCGGAAACAATAAGAAGTTCATATACGTTAAAGGCGTTTCTAAGAAGAAAAAATGCTTATAATCAACGAAAAGAAACTAAAATTGAACAGAGAGTATAGATAAATAGGGAGTGAGAGAGATCTTTTCATTTACTTCTTTCCATCTTTTATTGAATTCTGATTAGAATGGTGATTGGTTTAAAAATCATCCAGTCATATTCAGCGGAAGAAGGCGTACTTCAAAAGTGTTCTCGGCTTTCAGTAGTGCAGTATTTCCCGGGAACATTCGTTTATTGCAACAGATATATTTACTTTTATAATTGTCGGTAGCATCTAGCTATCACCACTTCTTAAATAAATGAAAGAATGTCATAACTGTATTTTTCAAAAGTAGCATAGGGGCGCTTTGGAAAAAATCTCGCAGGGGATGAAAAAACATCGGAGATGGTAGAGCACAAAGATTATATACGTTTGATTGGTTTAAATTTAAAGAGTTAATTTCAAGGTTTCTTTTCTATTTATTCTTCTTTCAGAATATATTGGTGATATCGAACTCTTATTTCGAATTAGAAAAAGTCTTATTTGCCCTAGCTACTATATTCACGTGTAGAAAAAGTTTTTATCCATATATCGATTTGTCTCGTATAGCTCTGATGTAGTGAGATTTTGAAATTTGAACAAACTTGTGCGTTAGATATATTAACTTTAAAAACTTAAATATTTATACAAATGAAAAGTTTAATAGGTGAATCAGGCGTCGATTTCACCCTACATAATCCATTTTTCTTTCAGACTGGTGTTTTTTTTTACTATGCCTACAAAACTGTATTGTGGTAATGTTCCGCCTACTGTTAGTAGTACTGAATTGAAAGAATTATTTGAAAAATATGGAAAAGTTCTTGAATGTGATATTATTAAAGATTATGGATTTATAGTAAGAAGCAAAAAAATACTAATGTTGTATTTGTATAATAATTTATTTTGTTCTATTATTCCCTTTTAGCATATGGAAGATGCCAGTAAAGCTAAAGCTGCGATTGCTGCATTAAACGATTTTAATTTGAAAGGAACAAGAATCAAAGTGGAGGTATGTTGAGAGTTGAAGAAGTCATCTGAACTTACTTTTTTCTGGTACCATTAATCGACGTCTTCTTGAACTATCAGTTAAAGAACTTATTTGTTTTGTCTAACAGACAATCTAATAGAAATGGAATATTCTTTTGACATAAATACATTGTTTTAGTGACTTAATCTAAATGAAATTCGAAGTTGATGTTGCTCGGTTAGATATTATTAATTGCTTTCAGGATGAAATATCCATGGAGTATATTTTTTTGGTTATTTAGATGTCTACCACTCAAACAAGAAAAGGTGAACGATCACAGTAAGTATTTTATCTGTCTTATTCTCAGTGATTCATTTTATCATGTTTAAAATCTTAATCACGTGCAATGTATATTTGTTTTCGTTTTTTAGAAAACGTATTCCATCTAGTATGGGTTCAAGTCCGCCTCCTTCCATGTCAATGAGATCTTCACGGTTTGTTAAATTTACTTATGTTTTATGCTATGAAGAAAAGTTGTGGAAGGAATACAAAATAGGACTAATTCTATATATACTTATGGGATGACATACTGAACTAGTAGGAAATATCGACTTCTTTCCTAAGCGTCGATCTCTGTTGCAGACAAGAGCGTGAATTAAACATTTTTCATTTATTCGTTGCTGTTTTAGTGATTATCCAATGATGCCTGTACATCGAAATGGTTATGGTTCAGATCGTTTTTCAATGCGTTCAATTGATCGTTATCAACCCTATGATCATCCATACGTTCGTCGTGGTGGCGATCATCGAAGTTTAGGACCGTCAATGAGTTACGGCGATCCCTATTTACGTGATCCATATCGAGATGATTACTATCGTGCATTGGCGGCATCCGATCTTCATCGTTCAATGCGGTACGTTTCTTCGAAAGAAAAATCAAAGCTGTACACTTTAGTTGTTCGGTATTTGTCTTTTTATTACTCACTGTTTCTTTCAATATATCTTCTTTCGTTTGAAACGATACGTAACATCAACAAACGTAGACTATACGGATTTTTTTGTTTGTGTTCGTTGTCAATCGGGAAGAAGCCTCCATAATTCAATATAGAAGATAAATGTTCAATGTTTTCAGGTATGATTATCACGGTTCGTATCCGTCTGGTCCGTATCCGTTGCCACAATCATCAAGTTCGTCGCGAAGGTAAGAAATACGCTGACAAGCAAACTGGATCGAGAAAAAAATCGTCGCCGTTCTCGTTTCGAAATTGATATTGTTATCGCACGTTATATCTATGCAGTACTTCTTGGTGGGTTTCGAAGTATTATTCGGACAAATGGACTACCTACGAGGATGGTTTTGAGCAATCTCATAGTTTACCGTTCCGAATGATGTGTGTAGCCATTTAGTCAGATATTTTTGACGCATTGTCAATAATTATACTCTTGGTTGTCCTCAGTCTTTGATAATATCTGTCTTGAATCTCTGCTAATTTTGATAAATGAATAAATATTAATTTAGTCGGTATGCGTCGCCACCATCATCTGATCGTTTTCCATCTGATAGAATGAATGGACGTCAACGATATCAATCGCCGCCACCACGTCGTTCATCATCATCTCGGCAGTCAAAAACATCGCGATCAAGACGATAAAACAAGTAACTTAATTCAACACACTCGCGTTCTAAAGTATTGAATCAATATTTATGTTTATGTTTATCTTTTATAAAGCAAATTTTTAAATGGAAACACGCTTCACTTCCTTAAATGGACGAGTGTTGTTGTTTTTGACATTATTTTTTCACTTTTGTGTAAAAAAAGAATTCAGTGTATACAAGTAAACAAATTTAAACTATTTATTCATGAAAACATGCACGTCTTGACAATAATCTTGACAAAAAAAACACAATCTTCTTTTTCACTATGTCATTTGATTGAAATATGTTTATACTAACTTTTGAAAGAGTCATACAGATGTAAGTAGTCACTTTTTACTTCTTGTAAATGTCTTCTGTCTTTTGAATAAAATTTTTTCTTTTGTTATTTCTGTTCAGTTACCTGTTTTAGAAGTCTTCTACTTATAAATTCAAATCGTCCAAACTAAGTACTTTTTTGACTTCTATTCTCTGAACACGCAAATTTTGTTTCAGTGCGTACTAGTAAAACCTTCATTGCAACAAATTTATAACTTGAAAAAGTATTTTTTTTCTATTGAAGTTAATTTTTTGTGTGTTTTCACTTTGAGTCTCAATGTTGTTATAAACTACTAATATTGCTGTTGTTTTTTGCAACATTTGTTTGTCGTAAATACTCTTCTTTTTTTTCTTTTTTGTGTTTTTTCAGTAAGAACTACAGAGATGTATGCAATTCAAGCTAAAGATTGACGATTTTTTTCGACAATGTATTGGCCCTTCTTTGTATGCTTTCATTGTAAAGTTTTTTTGCTCTTGCTTCTTTGTAATCGACTCAATAAAGATGATATCAAAAATACTCTAGACGATGAAACGATTGTGGATCTTTTTCGATGAAAAAAAACTGTTATAGTCTGTGTCACACGAAATTGCGACTTGTTAAATAATTAGCTAAACAACAGGTTCTATTGAACGAATGTTATGTTACATCTCACTTCCTGATGTTTATTTTTAAAACAAAATCATATTTTTGCATTATATGAGTAAACATTTAAAATATATTTTTTCACGCAAAGAAATCACATAACAGATATTCTATGATTATAAGTGCATGGAGAAATCTCTTCTCTTTGTCAAAATTTTGCATGTGTTTCTAATATTTTTAAGTGGTATTCTTTGACTTTGATTACTTTACTGTTTCTGTCTTGTTTTTATTATTTTTAAAGTTGAAGAAAACGAAAATCCACCATTTGTATATACGTTAATTAAATATTACGGTGAAAAAGGTAGATACTGGCACTCCTCGTCAATTTCTGAGCCATGTTTTCATTTTTTATTACAAATCATCCTGTTATATGATTTCTAAATAAACGTTGGTTTATATGTGCTAAATTGATATTTTCATTGAAACTGCAACAATTTCATTGAATAGAGATCTTTTTGAAAAAGAGTCATTTATCGAAATTTTGTTCATGATCTCACTATTTCTCATCTGCTTTTTACGAGAAACATTTGACATTTTCTAGAGTTTATTTTCTACACGCTGGCATAACAATTTCTTAAAATTTCACTTTTGTTTTCCAAATATTGTATCGACATGGAGAAAAGAGTCAACCTATTGAAATACATGGAAATAATTTTGATCTTCATATCTGCTATCTCCATTAATATAATTAGACCACAATAAACTGCGTAATTTTCTCAATTTTCTAATCCGTTTAAGGATTTATTGCATGTATTTTCCACTTTTCTGTTTGTTTCCGTAAAAAAAGAACCTTTTCTTGAGTTAAAACGCATTTTCATTACGTAGAATTATAACACTGTTAAATGTGCACAATGTACTCTGTTAGTTGGGTTTTTTGTCATTCATGCAGTTTAAAAGCAGGACGACACGCATTCTCTTAGTGTGTGTTAAGTTCACTCACTTCTGATACGCAAATTTATGTAAAATTAATAGCGATACTCTGCAGCAAAAAAAAAGAATTTCATCAACCCAGTACAGTATTTCTAATGTTCACCGATATGCGCTTGTACCATCATCGGATACTTGTGAACAATTGTGTATGAGAAATGTATACATTGTATATTCATCCAGATTTTATTCGATTTCAAACTAACGACCGCACAAGTATAATTCTGAATGTTGTGTTATGGATTTTGTGAAACTCCCTCCAAGTCTTCGCAGAAGACGGAGTCCCAGTAATATACTCAAAAACAGGTGTTATCATGTTTTTTTTGTACCTATTTAAAATTTGATACCACTTTCGATCACAAACTGTTAAAAGGCGGTCACCACCTCTTACGTAGCTGTCTGATATCGAGTGATATCGATTGATATCAGGGGAAATGTTTTTAGGCGGTAAGTTCTTAATCGATCGGTCACAACCTCTTAATCAGTATCGTCGTTGCTCATTTTTCTTTAAACCAACAACAGATAATTCCTCTTTGTAAAATAAAATATAGGCGATTTTTATAGAATCCTAAAATTGCTTAAATTTCTCCAAAAAGAAGAAAATTCTTCCTCTGATATCTTGTCAACAATAATTTTCATAAATATTTAATTAATCATTGCATTATCAAATTTCCGAAAACTATGTAACATCAGACATGATTCAAATCTAAAAAATTTTCTGATGGTGTTGTAAAAAACATATATATTCTTCTGAAACCATTCCTGCTCAATAATTTTTAATAGATTTCAATCATAACTTAGTCTATGATCTGCAAAATTAGATGTGTGGCAGTTCTCCATCATATTGAGATTAGATGATGTAATCTTTCTATAAAACTAGGAAATTATCGATTATTTTTCTCTTTCTTTCCCCGTTAATAAATGCTCGTATAAGTCTCATTTACATTTTATTCCGTAGAGGAATATGCGCTTTACAATCCTATACCTTCAGGCAAACTTTTGCAAATATAACCTTTTTCCGAGAGATCTAGAGAAAGAATTGATGCATGTGTAATTTGTAGTATTGAACAAAACGTTTCATCTGCTACAGACGTTTGGAAACACAATAGGCCACGATGAATCGAATACAAAACGTTTAGAAAGAGAAGAATGATGCATTTAAGCAATCATGAAACTTGTATATATATGAGACATTAAGAAAATAACACAATATATATATATGAACGCGATCTTTTGTATGCCAAGTAGAAAATATATTTTTTATTTTTTCTGAGAAATTACAACGATGAAAAGAACAAGAAAAATATAAAAACACGCATGGAATGATCATAAAATAAGAGTGAATATTAGAGAAAGAGGTAACTTTGAGCTAAATGTTATGCTGGCACGCGTTCAGTTTTTAATCGAATTGATATTATATTTTTTTTCAGGAATTTCAATGTTGAAACTATATTCGCTTCTTTTTTGTATCGGCAGCATTTCGATGAGCTGGGATTATGGAACATATCCATCATTTGACGATGATTCCGATCAATATTTTACATCAAGAGATCAAGAACATGAAATTCATAGTCCATTAATTAGTGGATATCAATACGTATCGGGTAAAAATTAATTTCTTCGACAATTACCTGAACGTCTAGTTCAATGATCACTCATACTATGTCGAAGTGGGTGTGTAGGGTTTTTATTGATGAGTAATATATATAAAATCGTTATTGACATAGTACATTTAGTTGTTACGACTCGTTTCCACCTGTTTTATCATAGAGGTCATCTGACTAAGGAATTATGAGCCAAAACACCGTTCTCACTATGCAAAAGAGTGTTTTTTCCAAAATCATAAAATATAGATCGGTAGAAATAAATTCTGATTGTCTAAGGTGGTGCTGGTGAGGGTACTCAACATTTAAGTCCTAGCGGAGTTATTCCAAATCATCCAGAAGTTAAAACAGATGAACAATTGCCGTCGTATTGTGATCCGCCGAATCCATGTCCATTAGGTTTTGAAAGTAAGTGATTTAGTTGTTATTTTTCTGTTATTCTAAATTCACTTTTGATATAATGAATGTAGCGAATGATTGTGATTCGTCATCAATGCAGAAATTTACGGCTGAATATAGTCGTCATTATCAATCAAGTCAAGATTGTGAGTGTGATGATGATCATAATGAATGTACGACAAACGGCAATTTGCTAGTAAGTATTTTGTTCACAGATAAAAAGAAATAAAAAACTCCGTTTCTTGTTTTAGCATACTCTTCCATCTAATGATATATTGAAACGATCACGACGAGTTCGCAGAGTACGTATAGTTTTTAGAGTCAACATTGAACTAGATGAAATATCTCCTCTCAGAAACATCAACTATAGATTTGTGTATTTTTAGGATATCAAAAGAAAAGAATATCAACAACCACAAAAAGATCAAAATCATACAAAATACATGAATCCATATAAAAGTGGTCAACATCTTTATTTTCATGTTGCAAAAAAGTCACCAATGTATTGAGCACAATAACACCTGAAGTTGAGCTTATCCTTGGTCATTGTATAATAATAATGGTTATGTGATGTTTATTTTATTACCAACAATCTTTTTAGTTACCACATAATCTTCATTCCTTTAACAACAACACAGTGACTCTTATACAAAATTATATCTTTTATAGAATTAAGAAGAAACGTGCTCGTGTATCGTTAGTCTCTCAATAAATGTCTAGCTGTTTAAGTACCAAACTAGATTTATGTTCTTTCTAGAATATTAAGAGCAAATTTAATTTTACGATAAATAATCAAGGGCATGAGATGCAAAATATGCATTTCAATCAGATGTCAGCTAGCGACGTTTTATTCTAGTCTTAATTGTTGGTGATTACAGTATGAATCGAAGACAAAATGATTCTTTTGAGACGTTTAACGCTGCATTATTAATAATAATAATCTGATTTACAATAGTAAGTTTTGTGCATATCACACTTCAACTTGAGAGTAACTTAAATAATAAGTTATTTGAAAGACATCATTATTTGTCAATAATGTTCAAAAACTTAAATGGTGGATATTGCTCGTACGCCTTACATAATATTTGAGTATTTTTTCTTACTTTGCTGAAAATGAAGAAAATAAAATTTTGATAAACACAAATTATTTATAATATTTTTTACTAGCTGAATACAAGTACGTCTTTTTTGGTATTTCATAGACAATCCGATTACTTTTTCCATAACTCGATGAGGACGATGATGGATATGTATATTGTGGCTCATCCTGATCTTTATAAATGACATATTTCGCTTCTCGTCTAGGTGAATGATCCACACGTTTTTGTACAACGCGTACATACGATTGCTGATCTTCATCATCTGATTCAACAGTGGTCACTGCATCTCGATGTATTATAACTTGTTTTTTAGGTTTTTCTCTTTCGTACACTGTTTTTCTATCGCCCGTCATTGAATCGATAATAACTTTTCGTATAACTTTTGTTGGTTCATCATCACGATAGACAACTTTTGTTTTTGGATGACTTTGTTCAATTATTTTTTTTTTCGGTTGTTTTGTTACCAAATGTCCCTCGGGTGTTTCATAATAGATTATTTGTCGTCCTTCAGATACATTGGATTCCGGTGTTGGTTCACGAAATACTTTTATAATATTATCGTCATCATCTATCAAAACTTTTTCACCATTTGTCGTTTTTCGAACATGAACACGTGCTTTCTAAACAAATGTAAAACAATAACAAATATATAAAATGAACATTTGATGATAATAATATTATAATTGGGATCACAAACCTCACTTGCTCCACTCGATTGATGATGGTGGTAGGATTCATCGGCCGAAACATACTTTACGTGACGTGTGGGCTGTTTTGTTCTTACAATTTGTGTTGTTACAGGCTCATCACTATAATACTCGTCTGGATCTGCATAAACAACTTGTGGATGCTTCTTTTGTTTTTGACTTCGAATAAGGACATATTCACCACGGCGGGCACTAGACATTGTCGAATTATTGTAAAACTTAACTAAATAGGAACTAGAACAAATGATAAATCTGTTAGATATAGGAATAAAACAGTTCCCACTCAGCTATAGCCATCTTTCCACCAGTCACAATAGGAGTGTAACTCTATCGTTAAAACTCTGCGCTTACATTTCATACAATAGGATTGTTTACATTGTTAATCGAATATTAACTGAGTATATCGCACTTCACTTTTAATACGACTAGATAGTTCTGTAATCTTTTGAAAACGGAATGGCTATTACAACAAAGAGTAGTTAATTGCTATTAAAAACCATGCATGTGAAAGTTTTGGAGACTTTTACGATGAAGGAATACATAGGAGAATTTTTATTTATGAGTATCTATCAGCAGCATTATTTTTTTATGCCTTTTATCACGATCTATCGATGGATTAACGTTTTCTGCGGGTATAAAAACATAATAATGACAATGCATGATAAATTCCTAAATTAGCAATATGCAGTTCAACTATTAACTGTAATGATAGGGACTTCAGCGTTTACACATGGAGATACCCAAATATGAGATTTTTTGATTGCTACCAGGTGTGGGATTATTCCATTAAAACGTGACAATTTATATAAGTTTCCATACATGAGAAATTATCATGTATGGAGTTCGTCGAAAAAACCCTTCTCTGACAGTTTTCGAACGTATTTCCACGTCGGATTATTTTCAAAAATTTGTACACAAAATTTGTACTATATTGATTTTACATTACTTACTCTGAGTTTGAATGAAATTTTTTATTTTTACTCATTAGACAATTCTAGTAAGTATGTAGAAATAATTACGGGTTAATACTATTTCGATCGCAGTTTCTAGCGTTCAGGTGTCGTCAAATATAAAAACGTTGGAGACTACTATCAATTTCGCACAAATTACGAAAATAAAATGCCTTAAAAATTTACCTCTTTTTGTGCTCTCAAAATTGATTTGGAATGTAAGAAAACTAGTTAAATTTTGATCTCGTTAGGTTTCTTATGCAAATGTCTATAAGTTTCGTTTACAAGTGATAAAATTTAGCGGTATTAAAAATTTACGATATAGCAGAATAAAATTCATCGTGTTCGTTTAAATTGAAACTGTCTATAAAAAACAAGAAGCACTTTTTATTACAAGTTATACGTATAAAACAATGTTTCGCGTATGCCAACTACCGGTATTTTTCATATCTCTCAGCAGGATATTTTGTGAATCAATAAAGTTTCTATGGTATTATAGAAAAAAAAATGATTAATTTTGGTTAAAAAGAAATGAGTTTTTATATATGAATATTATAATCATTTACATTATTTTTCAAAACAATTCAATTTTTTTGAGGTGGATAAGAAGCATTTCATATATATATATACATATATATACTTCATCTATTTTAAGGCTTTTCATACTTTTTCTTTTCATTACTTTGTTTTATACTGAACAGTAGAATGGATGAAATGTCACATCCTCTTATTTTTTGTTATTTTGGAATACCGTAGCTGCCAGAGCTTCGCATGAACTGAATCGAGTCCATAGTCCAGTTCAGTCGAGTCTATATAGACTTGGACTGGACTCAAACTTTCAAGATCAAAGACTGGTCTTGACTAGAAAAAAATTTTGGATGGACTTGAATCAAAGAAAAATCGATAAAAAACATGTTATTCTTGTATTGTTAAAGATACAGTGTGTAGTACACACTATATAGAATTATTAACACATTTTATCTTCGTTTTTAAGGGTTCGAACTGTCTAAGTTCATCATCAGGAAAATATACAAAGAGCTATAAAGAGAGATGTTACTTCTATATGAAATTTTGCGTGTACTAGCTTAACAAGCGCTGTAATTTTGTTTTTGTTATTGAATACCATAGTGGATGGACATCGGTGAATGAGAGCGTGGCATTACTACTCGAGGAGGTGATCTACAGAGGTGGGCGATGGACTATCTTTGGCTCCCTCGTAGGGGTCGTCTCGCAAACTTCCTGCCTCGCCAAGTTCCGATAAATGTACTTCGCGGGGATCGTCCCGTAAGCTTTCTGCTCCGTTGCCGTCTCGTCCACCCTTGATAAAATTTTCCTCTTGCACTTCCTCGGCGATCCTCCTGAGTCCAGAACATCTCTGATAACATAAGCTATTCATTGTTTCACCTTGGCTCACAAGTAGAACCATCAACTCATCAACTTTATTATGAAAATGGATCAGAATAAACATAACATCTTTCACTCGCAAGAAAAAATGTCCTTTGAGGCGTTAGCATCGTAAGGTTCTTGCCTCCTCCTCGTCCCGTGCCTTATCGAGCTTTCAAAAAATCTTTCTCGCGATGTCCGCCCGTGAAGAATCGCGGGACCTCGTGAGGATCCTCGTCCAACCTCTGATGACCTAGGAACAAATAGTGTGATAGTAGAAACAAAGGAACGTTTAGGCTGTTTGTAATAATTGACGACGAGGAAATAGAAATTGGCAGCAATAAAATGTTTCTTGACAATGGTCGAGCTGCTAATGGACCACTCCTAGATTATACTGAAGTTTGCAAAGTTCATAGGACTATTTACTTAGTCTGCTGGACTCGGACTGGACGCAAAATTTTGAGTTCATACAGAGCTCTGATAGCTACTCTCAGTGTTGAGTTTCATTTCTGAAATGATGTTACCAAAAGTTCTCGAAAAATCCTCTTAAAAATTGATGTAATAGTATCAGTTAACTCATATAGATAACAACAAATTTTTCACAATTAAAATAGCCTCTTTTCATAGACGCAATAGCGTTGACCTTGACTGATCGAAATGAAACAGTTGATTGAAATACTGAAACATTGAAATAGCGTTAACTATATTACACACTATGAGATCATGAAATAATCATTTGAATATGGCTAATTTCCTCGAAGAATTTAAATGTTGCTCTTCGGATAAATAAGAATTCGAAGTAATATGAAGATCCACTGATTTTCTTTTTGTTTGAAGATGATTTGACTTTAGTGGTATTCGCTTATACTGGATGAGCTGATTCTAATTTTAGAATTAACACTATGAACATATAACAGTTTTAGGAAATTGTTTTTCTAAAATACCGGTTTAAGTTAATCTGTGGTATAAAGTGGTATGGTCTAAGATTTAATAGTTCAAACGTCTACAAAATTAAAGAATATTTTCGTAATACACATTAAAAATTCAATCATTATTAATTATGTTTTCAATTACGAATATTTTTTTGTCAAGAGTCCCTGTCGTAGTGCGCAATTCGGACATGTCAGTGCGCAATTACAAACATTTGATTCTTCGTTTTAAAAATGATTATTTTCAGTTTAATTTCACTCCCCCTACCTTAAAATACTTTTCTAAATAGAAAGGAAGCAATGTTTTCGAAATTGATAAAGAACAAAACTAACTACAAAAAAAGTAGAATTATTTATTTTAGACTTTCTTCTTCAAATATAATGTTTCTGCTCATTTTTTAATTATTTTGGGTTTTTGGTCTTGAATACCATTCAGAGGTGTGCACAGGGCACTCATTTTCAACCTGTCCTGCACTGTGCGGTCATGTCCTGACAAAAGAATGATTCATAAAAATAATTTCTTCCTATTCTTCTGGGCAGGGCAAGACGCATTACACTACAGGACAAATATCAGATGTTCACCTTTTTTCTCGACAAAGTTAAAAAAGCACCCACTTTTCTTCATTTCAAATCACAATGACTTAATTTTATTCTTTTCATTACTAAAGAAACAAATACTGTTTTTCCATAACAACAACACGTAGGTAGAGAGCGGAGAGCAACAAGCAGGAAAGCACAAACGGAAAACTAAGCTTTGGTTCCTCAACAAAGAAAAGAAACTATGTACAAACTATGTACAGTTTATGGTGACGTTAATGGACTGCCCCTATGCCATTTTTACACTATTAACGAGGCGTTTTTCGGATGAACGTTAACAGACCAGTATAAATGACCTGGGATTGTTACTATACTACCTTTTTTTCAATGTCCCTTGGGTGATTTCAGTTGACATCTCGAACTTTTCTTGTACAGCATTCATATTTCGCTTGTGATTCAAAATCGAGACCAACCGGTCGGTTGAAGTGTGGTTAAACTGGTCAAAAAACCGGTGTTAACCGGTCGGTTGAAAATTTCAACTGGACCGGACCGGTCCGGTTCCAACTCTGCGCTAGATTGGCTCCAGTACCGAACTGATCCGAATGTCAAGTATCTACAGACACATATTAACTGGAAGTGACACCGAAATGAAATGGAGTTCAGAGTTCAAAACAAAGAAAATAAATTGCTGTGTACTTTGAAGAAGGTATTCCAGGAGAAAAGCTCTGATTGTTTCACGTTCTCGAAGAAAATACCGAGTAAAACATGATGAAATCCAGTTGAAAAAAGAGATTAAACTATCGAAAGAAGGTGGCGAAGGGTGTTGTAACAGAGTATATTTTTAGTACGTCGTAAGACATTCTGACCTTTATCTCGTCACAACACAATTTTTTTTCAAGAACAGAACAACGCGATACATTATTTAATCCGTTACATCGTTATACATTTTTTGTAACAAGAAAAGTATGCTAATAACGCACTTTATCGTTTACTTAAAAAACGGACTTTAACGAACATATCACATAAAAAGAAGAAAATAGTACGAAAATACTATTTTGTCAATTAAGTTTCCAATTACAACATTTGACGATTTTTCAATATTTCGTAAAAGATAGTAAAAGTTTGTTTCATGAATCAAATATCAAACTTGTGTCCAGTTTTTCTCCATGACTATGATATTCTACTTCTTCTACGTCTTCTACACCGACATTCGTCATACAATTCAATAATGCCATTAGATGAATTTGAGCTTCAGTCACGTGAAGTTCAGCTTCATGAATGTCCCGACACATGTAAAATTCTTTGACCTTTGTTATGCACCATATTATATTGGAAATAATTACCCCTTCTTGCATGTTGACCAAAACAAATTTATGTACAATCTAGAATTTAAGACCGTCTCGAGCTCTCTGCGATGTTTCCTTACCGCGAAATCTTGCACGTACGAACCGCTGATATTTTTTTCTAAATGTTTGACACGGTTGACGGAACTAGCACAATCTACAAAGTGTAGTAGAAATGTAAAACGTTTTCCTTCCGTTCTACGACTATGAATAATGTTTATAAACATTATTCATATTTTCATAGACCACAGTTTTACATTTCTAGTACAGCTTGTAGATTTGTACTACTCGAGACGGTCTTAAATTCTAGATTGTTCATAAATTTGTTTTGGTCAACATCCAAGAAGGGGTAATTATTTCCAATATAATATGGTCAAAGAATTTCTTTGAAAGAAGAAATTACAAATTTTCAAAAAGTGCTCGTAGTCTCCTCGAAAAAAAATCTCTCATAATTTTTTTGTCACCATTTTAATACAGGTCATTCACTTTCTTTCTCAAAGTTTTCGTGCAATTTCAAAGTCCTTGATCAAATTTCTTATATATATATAATATATATTACATTATACATATATATATATAACATCCCTTGACCCTTTGTATCTCTCAGTCAGTATATTCTTGACATGTATTCACTTCTACATACAAACTTTCATTGAAAAATAATCATATATAAGTTTATAACTAAAGTTTTATTCAAAAGGATAGTTTTCTGAGTATGGTGTGTTTCAGGTTCAGGCCTCTTGTTGGGCCTGTAAAGTCAGAATAATGACACCAATCTAAAACTACAATATCTTATCCCATAGAGGGAAGTATAATGAACAACTTTCCATGAACAGAATGCTTTTGGAATGTTTCATTGAGAAGGTGTGTTGCGCAAGAAATACTTTTTGCACTAGGTGCAAAATAGCTGGGAAAATCGACTTTTGGGAATTTTGAAAGTTTCATAACTCCACTAAAGCTTATCCAACCTGCGATTTATTGCAACCCTAGATCCTTGGAGGTGTTCTCTACAAATTGACAAAAATTGAGGATACGTTTAGGGGAGGACCCTCTCTTAAAGGAATACTTCTTCGGTGCATCTGCTCAGAACCGGAATGTGTATACATTTTACAAATAGTATTTTGCTAATAAGTCTATTAAACTTAAGATTTGAAACAACGTACTGTAGCTTATTTGGTAGCTCCCTCAATTCTGCATTTTGCTAAGTACAAACTATTCCTAGTTTCTATTTGTGAAAGAAATTGTAATCATGGTTATACATCATTATGGGTAAGAATCACGATATCTATCTATATATTTAGGCAATAAATCTATGAGGCCAAATTTTTAAAAAAAAATATTGAAGTTTATTTGAAGCGCGGAAAATTCTCTATTTTTCTATGTATAAAACATTCCGGTTCTGAGCAAATGCGCGGAAGAAATATTCCTTTAAATTGTTAGGATAGGTGAAAATGAGGATATCTGTCGAGTATTGATAATTATCCTATATGAGCGTATTTTTGAGAAGCTTATTTATAGCTCATTTTAAAGCGTGAAAACTTTTGTATCTTTCTATATATGAAATTTGGTCAAAGACTTTGAAATTGTACGAAAGCTTTGAGGAAGAAAGTGAAGGACCTGTATTAAAATAGTACCAAAAAATGATAAGAGATTAAAAAGAGCACTTTTTGAAAGCTAGAAGTGTTCGGAAATGAAAAAAGAAGTATTTCCAATCATTCGCTCAAAATCATATTGGGTCATTTTCTCAGAAACCGTTTCTCCTCCTTTACCTCGGGAAAAAAGACAAACATCGGCTTCATTACACAAGTGAAATACTTAGTAGGCATGCAACAATCCGATAGTTCGGTGACCGAACATGTTCGGGCACCGAACGTGTTCGACCTGGAAACTTGATGCGACCGAACGAGTTCGGACGAAGATTGCAAATACGATAGTTTGTATTTTTCTCATGGGAGGTATCGACGAGCGCTCCGTTGAGGAACTATTAGGCCAAAGATACATTCGAATTAGGGCTGCATCTTTCTGTCTACTTCATTTGCACAGTGAGAAAAGCATTTTTGCATAAGAACAAAGTAAATCAATCTGCTACACAAATCAATCTGTCAATGCAAAATAAAAGAGTGACTGACTCATCCAAGTACTCGGCTGAAGCAAATCACGTGACAATACGTATTTCCCAAGTACTCGGAAAGTAATCGAGTACTTGGATCTAGTGCATATCATTACAGTAGATAGTTCAAACGCAGCAGTAAGTTTATCAGGTTTAATTCTTGTAAAAAGATTGACTATTTAACTTAATAATTTCTTCGAGATTAAAAGAAATAATGTACAATTGCCTGGAATTAATACGAATAGTTCGATAGAAGTGGGCGTGATATATCACATTACATACTTGAACAAATTTTAGACAGATTGAAAATATCCGCAGCATCTTTTACACTCCGAAAAAACGAGTGGACGGTGCAAAACTAGCATCAAAGAGCAAAAAAGGAATGGATAGAAACAATACAAATGGAAATGAATGTAATACAGCAAAAGCGGCGTATGGCATTACTATCTCAATCATGTTGATATTCTGTAAGATTATTCATAATCGATTTTCGACATCTAGTCGAATAACGAAGGTACAGAGCTTGTGCTCTTGTTGTACCAGTTGTGATGGCTTGTCCGTCTTTAGGTTTTTTATGAAAGCAAACATCAATAATAAAATGAGTCGAAATTCTGTTTTTTTTTTTTATTAAATCAAACGAATATGAATATGAGATTTCGCTCATCATTTTCGAGAATTACAAAAAGTATCACTCGATATTTCATAAAACACCCTTTGATTGCTATCCTAAAAAGAAGAAACTTTCGTTTAAGAGTAAATTGCTAAAAGTAGAAAAGAAATATTTCTCTTACTCGGCAGACAAATTGCTATTGGATAACTATATGTTCCATCTTCTCGACATTCAATTTCTTGGAATAATGCTGTATAATTAGTTTTACATAACGGTTCTAATTGACATGTTGGTAATGTATAATATTTCAAAATGACACCTGTCTCTTGAGAACGCGCTTCCTTATACAAACACGGTTGCCGATCTGATAACATTCGAAAACCAACTGAATTTTGGTCTTGAGCAGGATATCCATCGCAAGTAACAGGGCAGTTTGTCCACATTCTATTTCGATCAAAGCTGGAAGGAAAATGAGCAAATATAGTCTATGATTTACTTCTAAATATAAGTAGCTTATTCCAACACTCACTTGGATGTTGTACCACACCAGCGAGCACTTAAAACACCTGTTACACAATCAAAATATTTTTGGCCATTCCAAATAAATGGAAAATAACATGATTCATAATCTAAACGTGTCGAAAAATATTGTGTGTAATAGTGTATTGTAGATATCTTTGACTTCAGAAATATTCACCTAGACAGTATCCCCATGATCCATCTTTATCGAGATTGTCCGTTGTAGAACAAAAGAGTGCAAATGAAAATGCGCTTGTTGAACGATAAATACAAGTCGAAAATGAACGACCCTGATACGTAAATGGAAACTGGCAATTGCTACCGTTTCCCGTTCCTCCTGTTGTTTTGATGCGTGGTGCTAAACAAATAGATGCTTTAAGTATAAAGAGGAGTGAATAAAAAGTTACAAACTTCTGCAGTATTTCCATTTGTGATCTCGATCGAAATTGTCCGTTACTGAACACCAACTATCATTTAGAGTGTCACTAATACATCGTTCATACCACTGACCAGCGTATTGAAATGGAAAAAAGCAATTGTCAGAAACTACATAAAAAATGATAATAGACGATACATTTAGTACAGAACGACAACGTCTAGTAAAAGCTTTTATAACGCGCTTACTTATTGCTTGCACAGTTGTAGTTAGATTCAAAGATGTCGTAGTTGTCGACGAGTTTATTGTTATCGAAGTAAGGATCTGAATTAGGGAAAATTGATTTCCGGTGTCAGTCGAAGATAAGATACTTGGTGGTGAATTTGATGTCAAATTCAACAAAGTATTAGCCGTAATGAGTGTACCATTAATACCACTTATCGTTAGTGTTTCCGGTTGCAGGTAAATTGAGGTTGACTGTGTATTCGTAACTGTTGATAATAAAGTTGTTTGTAGATTTAAATTTGATACATTTTGAATTGATTGTGTGCTTGAATTAATATTCCATGTCTGATTTGTAAACATAATTGTGGTTGTGCCTGAAGCGTATGTCGTTGGATATTCATGAACAGAGCTGTAAGACGATAATAATCCGTAAGAAGGATTTTCATTCCGTATTGTCGCGTATGAAGTGTCAGAAAGTAATTCTGAGTTCAGCATTATACTCGTAGATGCTCGGCTGGAAACGGTTGATGTTGTCCCATTAGACATTTGTGAAGAATCAATGATTAGCATCGTTCCGCTGTAGTTTGGCTGTATTGATGAAGAACGAGTTTCTGACTGTATACTAGATGTCATTGATAAAATAAGATGAGAGCTGCTTTCTTCGTTGGTGGGTCGTGTATTGGTGGTTAGTGCGGTACGGCTATCTTGAAACGTTGTTTCAGTGATCTCTGATAAATACTTGGTAGTATCGTGTACTGTAGAAAAGTGTTCAGATACAGATGTGTTTTGATGTGGGCTGCTGTCCATAGCTGATGTTACAGATGAGGGGGAATGTGTGAGAATTGTACTCTGTTCTGAAAGCAATGTTGAGTCATTATGTGGTGTAATAGAATTGGGAAGCGTGTGTCTAGAAGTATCAGTTATCTCTAGATCTGAATGATACGATTGTGATACTCCGTTGGTTGTTGCAGATTGTGTACTCAATTGCCAGCTTGTTAACAAAAGTAATAACAACGAGGTCGAGGACATAGTTGCTGAAACAGTCTGATTTATGGTTGTTGTCAACTCACTTGGATGTGTACCAGCAGTATACAATTGCGATGAGTCAGCGAAGATAACTTCTGGTACAGATGACAGTAGCTCTGTGTGATCCGTTAAAGGTTTCAAATCATATGTCGTGTGTATGGATGAAGCCGAACTATAATGTTGAGACAAGTCGACTCCATGGACTGAAGACGTTTCTTGAATCGAACTGACAGGATGTACCGTATCGACTTGAATTTGGTTTTCAGTGACGACTGTTGAATAGAATGTAATGTTTGACAAAGGAAATGATACAAAATTATTATGCGTCGAAGTAAAGTTGGTGTGCGAAACTGATATAGTTTCAGGATAGTATACTTGTTGATTCTGAGTGACAGTTGGTGGATTTACGTTAATGAACGTCTGACTTTCATCATGATGGGTCATCGACGTTGGTAGACTCTGATAGGCAATAGACTGTACGCCTCTGGAGTTCGACGTATCATGTGGTGTAGTAGTCCCGTTTGGAAGCAGTGAGGACACATTGTTTGTATGAAAAGTACTATCAGTGTTTGTCAATGGTGTCTGAATGTTTTGGCTAGAACCATACTGTGTACCAAAATTTGAAGTGACGTTGATGGTCGATGTTGATATAGTATCAGAATAGTATTCTTGATGATTCTGAGTGATAGTTGGTGGATTTAAATGAGTACTAGTGAGCGTCTGAGTTTCATCATGATGAGTTATCGACGTTGGCAGACTCTGATAAGCAATAGACTCTGAGCTGCTGGAGTTCCATGTATCATGTACTGTAGTAGTTCCGTTTGGAAGCAGTGAGGACACATTGTTTGTATGGAAAGTGCTATCAGTGTTTGTCAATGTTGTTTGATTGTTTTGGCTAGAACCATATTGTGTACCAAAATTTGAAGTGAGGTTGATGCTCGATGTTACTATAGTTTCAGAATAGTATACTTGTTGATTCTGAGTGATAGTTGGTGGATTTAAATGAGTACTAGTGAGCGTCTGAGTTTCATCATGATGAGTTATCGACGTTGGCAGACTCTGATAAGCAATAGACTGTACGCTTCTGAAGTACGATGTATCATGCGGTGTAGTAGTTCCGTTTGGTAGCAGTGAGGACACATTGTTTGTATGGAAAGTACTATCAGTGTTTGTCAATGTTATTTGATTGTTTTGGCTAGAACCATATTGTGTACCAAAATTTGAAGTGAGGTTGATGCTCGATGTTACTATAGTTTCAGAATAGTATACTTGTTGATTCTGAGTGATAGTTGGTGGATTTAAATGAGTACTAGTGAACGTCTGAGTTTCATCATGATGAGTTATCGACGTTGGGACGCTCTGATAAGCAATAGACTGTACGCTTCTGGAGTACGACGTATCATGTGGTGTAGTAGTTCCGTATGGAAGCAGTGAGGACAAGTTGTTTGTATAAAAAGTGTTTATCAATGTTGTCTGAATGTTTTGGCTAGAACCATATTGTGTACGAAAATTTGAAGTGACGTTGATGGTCGATGTTGATATAGTATCAGAATAGTATACTTGTTGATTCTGAGTGATAGTTGGTGGATTTAAATGAGTACTAGTGAGCGTCTGAGTTTCATCATGATGGGTCATCGACGTTGGTAGACTCTGATAAGCAATAGGCTGTACGCTTCTGGAGTACGATGTATCATGTGGTGTAGTAGTTCCGTTTGGTAGCAGTGAGGACACATTGTTTGTATGAAAAGTGGTATCAGTGTTTGTCAATGTTGTTTGAATGTTTTGACTAGAACCATATTGTGTGCCAGAGGGATATCCATCTGTGTGACTCGTACTTGTCATTTCTGAGGAAGATAAACGTGTCGGAATTCTGCTTTCGCCGCTGGCCGACTGTTCCGGAGTTAGAATTGTGCGAATGGTAGATTGTAGATAGATACTTGTATACATGGTAGATAGTCCACTTTGGAGGTGCAAATCTTGAGTAGTGGTTTGCTGTGCATTCAGGGTGGTCAGATTTGTATAAGCAAAGACCAGTGTTTGATTTGTTTCAATAGATATGTTCTGAGATGATGATGATATCACGCTTGGTTTTAAAGTAGAATCTCTGCTTTCTGCATGTGACAATGTATTTGTAAGAAACATAAATTGTGTACTTGATGGTGAAGGGTGCGCTTCAACCGTTGACTCTGAGCGTACCATCAAATCGATGGTGTTGTTATATAGATGAGAACTAGTTTGAAAATTGCTCGTTAGAATAGACACTATTAATCCACTGGAATTAGACTGTGTTGATGAAGAAAGACTGGCTGACCGCATGGGTGTTATAAATGATGATAGAACATATGAACTATTCACTGTGGAAGTAACGGGATACAAACTATTGCTCGAATATGGCGTGAAAATTCCAGTAGGTGGGTAGATTGTGCTATTAATCGTTGAAAGATTTGTTATAAAATTCGGCAAAACTGAATCATAATGAATGGTATTTGTAGATTGATTAAGATTATTATTAGCCGTATAATATCCGCTTGTACTATTAGTTTGACTAAACGTAGATGTTGCAAAAAAAGTATTAAAGTAGTTTATCAAAGTGACGGGGGTTTCCTGCTTTGAGAAGAGATTGGATGAGGAATTGAATGTATCAGAATGAACAGTGGTGGTCTCTGTATTATTGCTCGAACTAAAATTTCGTTGAAAAGTTGATGAAATGACGTTGGTAATAATATTTACACTTCCTTGAATTGACGGATAAGAACTTAATCTAGTAGAAGCAGACATAGGTAATGTGTCGTTTAGAATGTTACTTGCGAGGGATGAATTCAATGAATGAGATGAAGTTATCTCTAGATTTAATGGACGTATTGTTGCTTGATTTGTAGTAATCTCTCGATAAAGCGAAGAATTAAGTCCAAATGAAGCAAGTTCTAAATTAGAAACACCCGTCATACTTGAAACACTCGTGTTGGATAGCTGACTGGTATAAACAGAAGGACCTGATAACAAAGTAGATGTTCTGTTCTGTACTTCGGTAAGATAAGGAATTGATGCTGAAGTCTGGTAAATTCCACGCGAAATTAAATCGCCATTTGTTAACAGACTGGCCGAAATCATATTTATACCAGCTATTGTTGTTTGAGCATTTTCAAATGATTGCATTTTGACTGAGCTCGAATTAGTAATTAAGGGGGTTACGGAATTCAAGCTTATTAGATTTTGAATAGTTGAACTAAACTGGGAAAATAGTCGATTTACAATTGAGGAGACGGTTCCCTCAGTCCTTAACGGCATCAGTGTTTGAGGCGTCTGTAAATTTGCAGCTACAGAAGCTTGACTAATTAAAGAAAAAAGAGCTTGTTGAGTAGACTGACCGAATGAGTTACTTTGAGAATACACGGTATATATATTCGAATTAGCTGTGGAAGAAGTTGAGAGGTTTGTAATTAAAGATGAAGCAGTTGTTACCACTGTTAATATCGAATTTGGAAATATAGATAATGGACTTTGAATACTCGCAAGCAGTTTAGTAGACTGCTCGTAATTACTAGGAAGTTCTTGAGATATTAAATTTTGTCTCGTGGAGGTAGATATCGAATAACTGTTGGTTGACACTAGTGTAGTATTATAAGTTAGACTCACGCTATCTATTGCTGACATTCGTTGCAAAAAGGCAGAAATAGTTGGTTGACTTTGTGCATTCACAAGAAATATAGTTGTTGGACGGTTTGATTCCGATGAATTAACAGATGAAAATAGGAGTAGATTGTTTGATTGAGTAGCAGATGAAATAGTTGAATTTACTGTCACCGGTAAACCCGTAGGAATATTATTCGTTACTGAATTTGTATATAATGTTCTTGATATAGAGCTTACTTGGATCGATTGTAAAATGCCGCTAATATTTAGCGATGTGACTGAACTAGTCGATCTAAAATATGTTTCTTCGTTTGTGTACAATGATTGACTAGTGTTCAAATTATAATTTGTATTGTTATTGTACGTCAGCGTCGTATTCGATGAACGATTATTTGTAGTAAACGATGATGATAACGTTTGAGCACTATTTGTGACAATATATGAAGTTGACGAGTTTTGTTGACAAAAACTTTGTCGAATACCGATAAATGATGTACATAACATCAAATAAAGTTTAAATACATGTTTATCATGAAAGTATGTTTGAAACTTCATTGCTGATGCTGATGACACGTCAACAGCGTTGATTCCTCATTTATATGTAATTAAAACTTCTTTTATCTAAAATTCAGTGTAAACATCGTCTAGAACAGTACGACCTGAGATACCTTCCCAGGTCAAAGATTCACGACTGTAGACTATAGTATTTCGTCGTACCTTGACGTGAACTCGGCCAACGTATTACGTTCGTCGTAAACAACGTCGTTTACGTTGAAATACGACGATTGTAACGGCTGACGTAATACGTTGGCCGAGTTTACGTCAAAATACGACAAAATACTATAGTACACGTCACATTATAACTGCGTAATATGACGGATACGGCCGTTTACGACAGTCGTAATCATGGATCTGGGTCAATACTACTTCCATTCAAACTTTTCTGCGATATTTCAGAAGAACTAAAAGAACTAAATTATTTGAAAACTTAACAGCGATTAGTATCTGACTAATAACGAGAAAAATTACAATTAGTCTATTAGTAACACAATTTCATCATCTGAAAATCTTTCTCTAATCACTTGTGATGGCACAAAATATATAGGTAAAACGTGAGTAGAAAAGAAAGAAATATTTCATTAACAGTAAAAAAGAAATTAATTTTACATTTTGGATATGTTTTGTCAAAATATCCATTGAAAAAATGATTGGGGTAGGTAACAAGAAAAAACACAAAAAAAATGATTCTTTCGTTGGTTCTGTAAATGATATTGTTGTTTAAAAAATACCTACGTATCTTGATCTACAAAAAGCTTGTGACGTAAAAGCACATCACGAGCTGAGCGAGTACAGTAGCAAAACAATATAGTTTAACACAGAATCTGTTGCAGTAGAAGAGTATTTAAATAATTTTTAGAATCCTTCTGTCTTTCTGATTATAGTGATTAGAACAATCACGAATGCAAGCTTGGCTTCATTATCGACTGTATGAAGATTTAAGTTTGTCAATTAAATTTTCATTCGGTGAATATAGGATAGGAGCAAAGCATGCTAAACTTTTTTACAAAATGTTCGAGTAAAATATTAAAATTGGCATCATTATCTCTTGTTAAATGTGAATTTTATTGTTCATTGGAAGGAGTAGGAAAAACTAAAAAGGAGTTAAATGATTCTCTCATAATAGATCGTTCATCGAATTAACACTGAGGAGTTAGTACCCGAACAGGCAGATATTCTTTCAAATACTGCAAAAAAATTTTCCTGTTGAGGATCTTTTGAGTATTTTTGTTCTTAGCTACTGAAAGGCATAAAAAAATTGAATTACACTTTATGCAACGTATATGAGGAAATTCCAGAAAACCACGAAGGAGATCTAAACGACTCCTTTTATCCTCGTTTAGGACGTTACTGTCCTCTTTTATCCCGGTCGTTAGATAGCGCCATCTGAGTCTCTTTAATTTTGCGCAGTTTATAATTTTGAAAGATAAAAACCGTATTTTCCTTTTGTATGTAACAGTAATCTCTTGAAATCCACTCTATCATTTAGCATTGAATGAGCGTACCTATTTGTTTTTTAACTGTTCCGTTTCTTCACAAATAAAAAATAAGATATGTCAATGTGTGTATAGCGTGTGCTAGTATACATCATATGGTATTATACTATAAATACAAATAGCAAAAATAACTTTCAGCTGTAGGTTAAATCTTGTGTAATCGCTGCTCTCTTTTTATTCCATTGACGAGTCAAATTGTTTAGTTTGATTTGATGAAGCAGAACTATTTTTTGTTTAATTGTATGAATTTCTGAAAGATAATCCTAACAACCTCGGGACAGTTTTATGCTGAGTCTATGATAAGGCATATAATATCAACCTTTTGTGCTCATCCTGGAAAGCATATTAAGAGTGCAAGGTTTTTACAGCTATAGCGATAATAATTCCGCTTACTGAACTTCATTGAGTTAAAGGCCACTTGCCTCGTATTAACAATATCAATGAAGATTGTTTGTTATTTATCTTTGTTTACTGATCATTGCTGAACTTTATCGAAATTATTTGAAGAAAAATATTCGAATAATTCCGGTAAAACCATTGATAACAAACGAGAAATGATAAAATAGGATAAATTGCTGAAACAATATCACTCTAGTAGTAAAGTCACTGAAAAGTTGTGGTTATTTAGTATTGAGGTGCAAACGAGATTTTTAACTAGATATCATCACTTATTTAATCGTTCGTGATATTTGTAGTAATGTAACAGAATTAAAAGAATAAACAATCGTTCACGAAATGATGAAGTTCGATACTTTTGTCGAATATTATGAACGAACACACTCGCTATTAATCGTTTTTTTTGTTTAGTATAGTAGTATTGAGAGTACAAAATAGGCACTTGATGATAACAAAATACGACATGGTAGTATTACACAATCCTGCTTGATGCAGATATGCATAAATTGTTATTTACAAATTCTTGACCAAATACGAACCAGAGAGAACATTCTGCAAGATAGTTAAGCATTTAACATGCTTTCACTGCATGTAACCATTCGATTCCAACTAATCAAGGAAACAAATAGAGTATTCTGTCGATAAAAAAAGCCAGCGTAATTTACAAGTAGCTAAAACTATCGTAAGCGATTTGTTTCTGTTTCTGTTTGATAACATTGTTCAGAATGGAGTTAAACAAAATGAAACAATGAAAAATGTATTATGTTTACATAGTGGTAATTGTTCAAACTCATCGTTTTAACGTTCGATGATTTGATATAACTCAAGTCAAAGAATCTTACTGTGAGATCTTATGAGATTCTTGTACGATTTTTATAAGATCAATCCGTTTCTATGATTTTCCGTAAGATTTTATAAGATCGTGTAAGATCTTGATCTGATTTTGTAACCTCGAAACTCAAGTATGAGACAAGAACTTTGGTATTTGTCAAGATTGTTATCAAACAACAAAATTCATTACGAATCACGAAATTAGAATAAGAGAATCACATCGTCCAGATTCTATCACATTTTGTAGTTTAATCAAAATGACAAAAATATATACCACCTTTCATTCAGATTAATTTCGAAGACAGCATGATGATTTTATTTGCATTCTGCAGTCGTAGGATCTAAGCTAAAGAAAATCGTTTCTCTAAGGGACTTTCAAATTGTGCTCGAAAGCTTGTCTTGTAGTTTTAACGCACAACTTTTACACTAAGTAATTATTGCTAGTATGACTTTTATTTTATTTTTATTTCAGATCTGTATAGTTGTAGTATTTTTTCTGATATTATTCTGTCAGTTCTTAGCATTTTTTACCGTTTAGCGAGCATAAACGCACTTTCCACTTAGTCATTTGCTGTTGTTTTTTATTTTCATTTTTTTACTTTTTCTTCTGTTATACTATCATCATTTCTTATGTATATGAATTTTATTCAAATATCAAACAGTAAGTGATGTTTATTACTTTCAACATAATGCCGCATATTATTGTTATTTAACTTAGATCAATCACACATGTCGTCTATGCCAACGCAAGAAATCAAATCGCAACGAGAATTAGGTGTCATAGGAAAATTATGTTCGACATATGGTTTCGTTTATTGTTTTCATCGAGATGGACGATATTTTTTTCACTTCAGTGAATATAAAAATGATATTCAACAAGCAAAAATTGGCGGTAAGATTTTGCGAAAAGTTGGAAAAAAGTGGCAGTTAGCATGTTCTACCATTCGAAACAATGAAACCTCATATTCCGTTTTGCAATAAGTTACGATTTTCTTTCAAGAAATAAATCGATTTCAAGTTAGTCCGTTACAACAAAGCATCAGCTTTATCAACACTCCCGAACAGGACATTAGATTCAGAAAATGCGAATGTTTATAAAATCGTTTATTTTTTTTGCTTGAGACGATCAAGAATAATTGTTCTTATGTCATTTAAGAGAAGTAGATCTATTAAAGCAGATCAGTATAAATTGTATATGCTCACATTAGCCAGTTTGAGAATCTTTTTTGTATTTCTTAACTACAGCTTAATTTCGTCTTTAAAATGTTCAGTCACTATATGCATCTACACAAAGAGAGAAACATCTGTTTTTACCACTTTGGCCATATATGGTTAAAGCAATGTAATATGTGACGATAGGTAGTTAAACGGTAATCTGTACACAATAACAAAACTTTTACGAAATAGTCTATTCAGTTTAGTAAACACTGTAGTTGATATTATCTTATTTATTTGCACTCATAGTTATTACAATTATCGGCAACGCATTTGATTGTTGTCGAATTTAACAGTTTCTTAGAAGAATTAATTTAAAAATTGAATAATTTACACATAATATATCTTAAAGTTTCAAAATAAAAGTTAACAGAATAAATTAGTTGATATTTGTTCTCGAATAATAAAGTTATATTGGTTTATAAAAAATATTGCTTTTTCGTACTTTTCAAGTTCTTGTTGAGATCATATTTATATTTTAAAATATAATCACTTGATATATTATAAATTTTTTTATTCAAATTATAGATATTATCGAGTTTGAAGCAACTTATGATAAAATGAATAATAAACCAATTGCTGTGAATATTGTTAAACTTTCCAGTACAGAAACCGTTGGAGAAAATCGAGTTGAAGGTTTGTTTAACAATGACATGCCATCTTTTGTTATTTAAAAATTGTTTAACTGTAGGAACGATTGCTGTTGTTTCAAGATTATCATCTACAACACATCAAAATGGACGAGTAAGAATGATGCTGAATCATAATAAGAAAAATGTAATAAATAACATTATTTTATTATCAGAATTATGATACCTCAATTAATATACCCGATGGTCGTATTACCTACGTGCAAAAAGGCGAAACATTTTATATTCCATACGGTTTGAATGACCTACAAGATTCAAATTTAGTACTGAAAGTTGGAGATAAAGTAAGTAAAAATTTTGTATATTACATTTATCATAACTTCTTTAATCATTCTAAGTTTGATTAAAACTTTCATTATTTATGCTATTCGTTATTTCAGATTTCATTTAACGTTGCACAAGATCGTCGAAATAATCAATTTTTTGCACGAAATATTAGTTTAGTTGAAAGTTTAGTACCTAAAAAATATCGTGGTGTTGTATCGACGATGAAAGATTCATTTGGTTTTATTGAACGTGAAGATGCATTAAAAGAAACATTCTTTCATATATCTGAAGTGATCGAAAATGGCAATATGATCCATCCGGGTGTTGATGTTGAATTTGAAATTCAAGATAGACTTGTATGTTCATTTCATTTTTGTCAACCGTTTTCTTCTTGTTTAATTCTCTTCATTTCTCTGTTTAGAATAAAGAAGTTGCTAGTAATATAACTCTATTACCGAAAGGATCCGTCGTATTCGATGATATTGATAAATCGTTTCAAATTGGACGCATTACCCAACCACTCACAAAACCTAAAAAAGCCGATGAAGTAGCAACTGGACGACTTTTATACGATCATATCGATACGTAAGTTTGATGTGTGAAATATACAGATAAAATAAATTATAACTTTTTCTATGCATTTAGAAAACTCGTCGAATTATCCTTTGGTGAACGTGATCGTGTTGGTATGTTCAAATCTTCATTACTATGGAAAGGTTTTCATTTGTATATTTCAAATAGGTCAATATACATTACTCGAGAATGATATTGTTCAATTTCATATTGCCACAGATAAACGAGATGGAATGCAACGTGCAACAAAAATACAATTACTTGATCAAAGTTTTCTAAAATCTAAAGAAAAACGAGAAACTGTTAGTAAACAAGCACGATACTTGAATAGAATGACTAATATTTCTAATAATTTTAACGTATTTTGTATTATAGGGTATTGTAACAAAACTTGAACAAACAACTGGCGGTGTTATAAAATGTACAAATCGTGATGAAACAGTAACATTTCGATTTAGTGAAGTAATGAAGGACAGTTTTCAAATTGCCGAAGGAGATTTGTTGGAATTTACCATTGTACCATCACTAGTATGGGTAGCCACGGTGGATCTACTTATTTAAGTCAAATGGATTTTTTTTATTTTTCTAGAATGACAATGGCAGTAGTTCAGCTATTCGAATTAAATTACGTACAAAAGAACTTTCAAAAAATGGCAGTATAACGGAGTCACATTATATTGGTGTTGTCGAAAAAGATGTTGGGGATTTCAGACCGATAAATAATCAATCGGGTAAGATGTCGTGCACTATTTTTCTCTTTAGAAATAGTGACGAATCGTTTTCTTTTTGCCTCTCGCGTGGCTTCACTTCGTGCTTTTCACGCCTTATTTCACTGGAATTTTGAAAAAAGCATCCTTATCAGACTAGATACGTTTTCCCATCGTTGTTTCTTGTTCAGAACAAGATGATGTTATCGTATTCTTTAGAAAAAAATGGTCGTGTGACGCAAGATATAGTGACAACACCTATTTCTGCCACATTACCATCGATGCCTAATGATGATTCATCATCTAAACAACAAGAACCCGGTATAATATCATATGAAAAGGACGGAAAACAATGTATGGTACAATTCTTTACATCTGGTATTAGTAATCCGGTCACTTTATATTGTGGAGACAAGGTAGTGTTTGGTTAATATCAACACAATTTCAGCTTTATATGTATCTTTTCTCTCTTAGGTTGAATTTAGTGTCAGTAATAATGTGACATCGAAACAGTCAGTTGCATCCAATATCAAATTAACTGAGCGAAGTCGTGTTCGTGGATGGATAGCAATATTTCGAGAAAATCGGGGATTCATCGAACAAAAGAGTGATACAAAACCAATTTTATTTTTGACGAGGTAGAGAATTTTGATTACATCTATCTTTAGTTGATGTACAATTATAATATCTCTCTTTGATTTTTAGTTCGATTGCTAGTGATCCAAGTCAATTGGATCTAGGAGATGAAGTTGAATTTAGTTTAAGAAAATCAACTGGACGTCTAATAGCAGAAAATATTCTTAAAGTCCCTTCAACTATCAATAATTTTTACGTAAAATTCTTTGATTTTTTTTTTTGTTCTTTTTAAATGTCGTACATTACCGTTTCCTTATAGTCGACACTTCCAACACCATATCGTGGACGTGTTGTATCACCTGTACGAATGCTAAATAATGAAGAATGTGAAGTATTCGGTAAAATTCAAAAAATAACAGATGGTACGTATATGCAAATTGAATTATCGTAAACCTAAATTTATAAAACATTGTTTTCTCTTCACATTAGACGGCATACCAAGTGAATTTTATACCTACAGTATAACTGGTGTTAAAAATAAACGTGTCATATTACTTCCAAATGATCCGGTGACATTTTTAATTGGCGTAGGGCTGGATTACAGTACAAGAGCGGTTAATATTGTTCTTGAGAATGAATTGCGAAAAGGAAAAGTCGATACAGTTAAAGGACAGGTAAGAAAACGAGACTATTTTTGTAAATAAAATTATACGCTCTCACTTACGAGGGAAACCTCCCGAGGTGATAAATCGCTTTTTGATTGACATCTAGTGGGTTATAGGTTATCAACCATGCTGATTCCGAATATGACCATGGAGCTTCCCCATAGTTCTTCGAAGATCCAGTCTTCTGGAAAATCAGTTTTGTTTTTCAATTGTTCATTGTCAGCTCAAAGCTACAGAAATAAGAAGAAAAAAATTAATTTAGGACTCTTCTTATAAATTCTATAACTTTGCATAGAAAGGTCGTGTAGAGCTGGAGAATGTTTCATTTTAATCAGAAATTTGCGGGCTACAATCCCGCATTATTAAGAAAGGCTTGGGTTATTTTTTGAGATTTCTGAAAAACTGATTTTCCAGATCTTCGAAGAGCTATGGAGAAGTCCCATGGTCATATTCGGAATCAGCATGGTCGATAACCTATAACCCACTAGATGTCGATCAAAAAGCGATTTATCACCTCGGGAGGTTCCCTCGTTAGATGCTGTCTTTTTAAAATAATCGTGTTTGATTTTTAGTATGGATTTATTGATTTTTCTATTGAAGAAAATAAAAAAATATTTTTTCATAATTCCGAAGTTGATAGTGGCTTTGATTTACGTCCAGGCGATGATGTTGAATTTATTGCCTATTATAATCAAAAAAGTGGCAAACCATGTGCTAGCAAATTAAGACGGTTAAAGTAAGTTTAACATTAGTGAAAACTATTTCCATAGCGTAAGATAATTGTTTTGTGTATGTTTTAGTAATCTTCAACGACCTGAACGTTTAATAACAAAATTAAAAACAATGAATATTGATGAAACCAAAAGAAAACGATTGGTTATTATTCGACAACCTCGTAATGCCGATGAAAAATCAAAAGGTTTTACAACAGCTAGAATTGAACGAAGACCAGGCATGTTATTACAAGCCTAATGATGATGAAATTAAGCTGTGTAGTATCGATTACTTTTCTATATTGGCGTTAGATAAATAAAAGACAATCGCCCACTATTTTTCTCTTTCATTATACATAGTCCTAACTCTTTTTTGTTGATCTTTAAGTTATTATTTTTTGTTGTTGATGTTATTGTTGCTTTCTTTTTGCTGAGAAACAAGTGGACTTTCTATCTGTCTTTTTACTGTTATTGTTGTTCTCATTTGTTTTTCTCATTAAAAATGTTATATTTTTTCTTTTCTTTTTAAAAACACAAAGAAGATATTAAATAACGTTTGAATCATATCCATAGTTGAGCGGTATTAAATAAACATGGGCTCGTTCGAATGAGAAAACATGTGATTTAGGTTTAGAAAAATATTATGTACCAAAACATTTTCAATTACTGCGTTCCTCACCTTTCCTGAACAAATTCGGACAACACCTCTGGTTGCAATCTTAGTTTCTTTGTGCAAATATAAGTCTCTTTTCCTGAAAACGAAATCTACTGTGATAAAACACATCGCTCTTTGAGAATTGTAATAAACAACAATTTATTCAACATTTTATTAAAACAATTTTAAACAACAATTTATCAACAGACGTATGACCGACCGACATTTGAGAGACCCCGACATTAAACACTTTTCAATCCGATCAGGAAAATGGAATGATTGCTCACTTCGATAATGCTTAATAACGATGATAATAACAATTTCTTTGTCGTTCGATTATGAACTGAATTATTTGGAGATCTGTGGAGGCTGAGCAGCTATAAGTGAAGCTATAACTTCGCTCAATTGTCGGGTCGCTCAAACGTAGGTTAATCCAATATTATTCTTTACTCTGCTTCGAGATATACGCTAAAATTATATTTTTATATTTACTTTGAGAAAAATTTACTTGTCTTTGTTTCTTTTGTAATTAACAACAGTCATCATTCCTTAACTACAATGAATACCCGTTACGCCCTTGTTTTTGGATTATACCGTAATAATCGATCATTTTGAAATGATGTCATAGTTATAGCGTAAAAATGAAAGTACTGTGAAACATAGTTACGGCGTAATTCAGGCATAATAAAAAACATGGAGAGTTGACAAATCGCATTTTTATCTATCTAATACTGTAAAAGAGCGTGATGAGATGTGTTATGTTCTGCTTTTAAAAGAAACTGACGATTCGACTATATTTATGAGGGATAGCGTTAACCGGCATTTCAAAGGTATAATATAATCAATATGTAAGAATTTTTCTAAGCGAGTCTTCAGTATGATGACACTTTGAAGATGTTTATTGCGCTTTTGTTGATTTCCGGTGCAATAACATCTGTGTTTTTTTGTTTCTCTTGTTCTTTTATTTATTAACACTTGTTTCATCGGTCGTAGTTAAACCTATGAACAATGTTATCATATTCTACTCACGTGTGCAAACGTTTATATATCACTTAAAGCTATATATAAATGTTTGTTAGTGTCACTTTGCTCACTTGGAGTTTATTGAACATCTCCAGATAAATCAAAAATATTCAAAATTTGCTTTTTTATTGTTTTCTATCCTATTGTGACTGTTGTAATTAAAACCTCATGTGTGTTCACATTTATGCGTCCAGTTTTGTTTCTTTCTTTTTCTTTTTGGTTGTTCTCTCCTACCTACAGTTTTTCTTGTTTTTTTAGTATTTCTATTTGAAAATTATATACTGACCTTTTTTGTTTTTAAACTTTAATTCTCATCTCTCCAGTCCAATGGTCACTGAAATCAGGTTACCCAATTCCATCTGTGTCCAAAGGTACCGAAACAATGAGCATTAGGTAGCTTGTCCAAGACTATCACGCGACGGCCGTTAGCGACATTCGAACTCCTTATCATTGAAGTACGGTGTCTGCCCACTAGCCGAGTGAGCCAGGCTGCTCTAATATATTAACGTTGTCAGTTTTGATGCGTGACAAGTTTTTTTCTAGTTAAAGTACTAAAAATTACGGAGAATTTCTAATGTAGAGATCTATAAAAAAAAGGTATCTTTCAAGTCTATAGGCTATCGTGTGTTTTTTTCAACGAAAAACATTTACTCAACAAAAACACACAGCAAGAATTTAATTTATGCTGATAAATGAGTATACGTTCCACCTCGTAAAAGTTTATTATAAAATATTCTAAAATGAATTGGTACACAACTGCGTTTACGTTTTAAAATATTCAGCGATATCTGCTATTTTTTTTAATCTTTGAAATTTTGGGGTAATTGACTTGCAAATTTTGCTTCTTAATGTGAGAAACTAACTTATATTTCAATACGATTATCGTGCTGACATTATATGGAATGTTAACTACACTGAATAGCATACTTTTATTGTTAATAAACTTGTTGCATGATACAACGGAACTGCTATTCACGAATGTATTACTAACTTGATATAATAGGTGTGTTGAAAATAACATGAAATATAACATCACGTCACAATACCATATATGAAAAATGAGATTGTAAAACATTGGATAATAAAGCTCAATTTGGGACAGTAGAAGAGATGAGAGAATATTTTTGCAAAAAATTGAAGTTTGAAGAATATTTAAAAATATCTTACTTCAAACGTATTTTTTACTGGTTTTATCGCATGAACAGTTTTTAATATGTAATAAGTTCGAATTAAGCCTTTAACTTAATTAACTTTATTTAGAACCAACACAAATGTGATATAGGTAAGAACTTCATTTCTCTTTTATAAAACTGTGGGTTTATTTTGAAATCTGACTAGTCAGAAAATAGTTTAACAAAGAAAAAAATATAAATAAATAAAATAATGTACAAACATACATCCAAATCTGGTTAATAATAAAAATGTAGCAGAAAGAAATGCATAGAAACATGAACGTACATTCAAGGAAAGAAAAACAATAATTGAAAATTACACCCATAACGTCTATGAAGCTTTATGAAAGACATCCATGAAAAGAATTTGCCCAGAACAATAACAAAAAAATAGACTTTTATCGTCCAGCGTGCAAAAAAAGTTTCAGATATGTTCAGTTTAGTAAAATTTCAATCTGTAAAATATTATATATAAAAATGTATTCCATCTTAAGAGGACATTTTCTGATATAAAACGGTTAGTAAATAACGTGCAAATAGGTTTCTTTTCACCTTGATAATTAATCTCATTAAATGATTCGAATGTCAGCTCGAATCAACTCGCATAGAAAGAAAATATAGAGTGACAAAAGATCTAATTTATTCATCATAACGTGTTGTAATACAATGGAAATCATTTGGAAAGTGACTCGGCGGAAACCACTTGTTTAATTGTGATTGGTTCTATACACTTTTCGTTGACCACGACGTAATTAAACAAGGAGCAACATGCATAAAAATGGAAATAAATGGCAACGAGCACTGCGACATGCAATATCTGATGACTTTGTCCTACAATATCAAATTTTCCCGGAAAAAATCGTTCAGGAATACGTACACCGTACATAACACCACCAAAAATGTAGGATACAGCCATTATACATATATAAAAAAAACCCATTTGCATCATTCTATGCATACCATAGATAATGCACGCATGAATTGATGGTACAACACCATAGAGACCAAGTACAATAAACAGAATAGCTTTGAATGGTCGACAACGTGGTTGTGAACATGCTGGTGAACTTGTACCAACCATGGATGCAACGGATAACACAAATAATATGCCAATATACAGTGCTTTCAGTTTTAAATTACAATAAAAGTAATAATGAAGCACGGGTACCATCGACCCAAATATCAAAATATTTATGCCTAAAATAAAAGAAAAATACTAATTACTGAAAAAGAGCAAGAGCCATTTAATTTGCAGTTAAAAGCACAAATGTGGGTGGTACTGCTTCGTCTCTACGGATTTTATTTTTCAATATTCGCTGTATAAAATACCTAAGTAATCTAATTTTGAAACAATTATCATAATACGCGGAGAATAATTGATGAAAACATGTAATAATGTTGAAAAACTCAGACATAACGTTGCTGATAGAAAAAATGAACTAAAACTAATGAAATCACTAATATCCATTTGCCGATAATTATCAATAATAAATAAAATATAGGTAACAGTGATGCATAATGCACCGATTAAATGTGTCCAAATATTGACCGTTTCACTATGAATTGATGCTATAGATATCAAACATTCACGAACAGAATTAGCTGGTGGACGGTGTTTTTGAAGTAAAAAATGATTATCACCAAGCCACTCTAAAAAACAAAATACAAAATGTATCACAGCGCAGTAAAACTTTTTTACAAAAACACACCCGGCAAGCCCCAATGCGCGATATAACGTCGCCTTACAGAAGCATCGAGAGATTGTTCATTTGGTAGTGTTATTATATCTCCATCCCCCATGGTTCGATAACGCCGTAACGACTCTTGATTAACTACTGCCTCATTATGCCAACGTACATGATGTTTCGAATCAATGAATGATAACTGGTCGTTGGTTGTCTCTAATAATTGTCGGATTCTACGCTGTTTATCCGGTTCATCTTCATCTTCTAAACGTTCAATTTCTTCAACTACTTTAATTTTTTCAATCGGTATTGGCATTTTCCGTACCGATAATTAAACAATGAACCACGATGTCAGATGGAGAGTATTTATCTGACAATCGATCGTATGTCAAACAATCTTCAAAAGCAATGTCACACAATGATCAAAAGTTAACAACGTATGAAATAACGTCTCAATAAGTACAAATACGCTATTCATGTACGTTGAACTCCTCTACCTAACAACCTAAACCGCTGACCAATTTTTTGCTTAAAATTTGATTGAATTTACTTAAAATTTGACCAGATCATACGATGCAAGATAAGAGCTGATCCTTAGAATAAAATTTATTGATGATCTGTAGCTTGAAGGATGATGACTCATTAATCAATCACAGAATTTGAATTTATAAGACTCAAGTTCGTTAGCAGTATTCTAGCAATAAATTCTCAAATTTAAGCAAAAAACAAGAACTATTCATTCGCAAAAATCCACACATACGATTTCTGATATCAAGGACAATCCCGCTCAAACCAGTGATTTATCTAGAGAGGGAGCCGGAGGAACATTACCATCCGGAATTCCATTCTGCTTCTCCGGATTTTAGGAACTCGTCTTTAAAAATTTGTAATCGCAATACTTCGTCACCTCTCCGAAACTTTGATTCGCTCCTCCGGAAACAAAAACCTAGATAAATCACTGACTCAAACATAGAGAGTTGTACCACTAAAAACAATAGGAGAAGAAACAGAAAACCAGAAAAACAAAATAATTTGAGCAGTTGTTTTGGTTGAATTGTGATGCCATTTCATTAAAAGGAGAAAGGTGATCATTCTTAGAGATGAACAATGGTTTTTTGGCGTCTTGTCAAACAATTAGTCCTACAATCAAGAGATACTGTTGCTGTAGTCTCACACGTTTGTGCGGTAGATTTTAGTGATCTCAAATATATTGCAAAAGAATCGTATTCAATTAATATCAATTAAAATAAAAACCAGCTACAGGATGAGGATGTATCAGCAGTTTGAATGCGTGCAAAGTTTAACGCTATGTTGGTAACCCTGATATACATACAGTATAATCCAGTCGATTTTTACTACTCGTTTTTTTAGTCATTATTAACGATGTTTTCTGTGGTTAAAAGGCCAGCTTATTTGTCCTACAGCTTATTTGTCTTATTGTGTCTTGTATTTATTTTTGTATCTTATCACAGAGTAGAGTAGATCAGCTGCTATAAAATTCACGATTGGGCGGGACATCCACACAACCAACAACAGCAGAGGGCGCCCACATCAGCGGGTTGTTTTATGTGTATTAATGGCATAATGTAAGTTTTCTTAACACCTATTGTTAACCTACATTATTATGTCATTTTTTCTGAATGTTCTGACGCATTTTTTCAAGATCATCGTCTTACTGATACAGCACTACAATATTATTGAACATTTATCTTTATCAACATACATCAAATTCGAAGCAGCTGTATCACCAAATCCATCATTTGGAAATTAAATAAAATCTTCTGTCAGTGAGAAGTGACTTTGACACCAATAATTCCTGCTTCATCAATTATTCTCGCGCTACAAAACCGAGTTTGACATAAATAACATAGACGACTATATATGCAGTCTTGTGAAACATTCTACATATTACAAAAGCATCTGAGGTTTCACATTCACCTATGTCTGAAAACTAATGTTTTCTTTTACTTTCAAAAATTTGAGTAAAAAATGTCTTGTTCATTTTAAGCAGTAATGACTTAAGCTGATGAATTAAGATCTATATTCTTTTATCTTTTTTTACTGTAATACAACTTCTGTTCATTTACTGCACTATTTTAGAAAGAAAATATGAATATTCCTTTAGATATTCATCGAAAAGCTGTTAGCTATAGTACATGTTTGTATTTTCATTCACATCGGTCTTTTGTTCTGGGATTAGTCAGAAAATTATAAAAGTTAGACGTGTTTTGTTTCTTTTTTAATTCAAATTTGTTTTCTTTTTGCTACAATTTTATAATGAATCAAACGAAATAAAATATTTATTTGTTTTAATAAGATTTTTAGACTAAAAAGTCTTTCTGAACAAAGATGTTTTTTTTTGACACTTATCCTCCAAATGACAGAAGAGAACAAGATCGATTTACATCAAAGTTTTACACAAATAGCCGTTTTATATGTTGTGAAACACTCTATTAAATGCGTAAGTTTTATTTTTACTGTTTTAAACGTTTCTTTAATTGACGACTGTTTTATCTTTTCTCGTATACTATACAAATAATTCTCCACATAACATTCTACATGAACAAACAAAACTTTGAAGAAAAAGTTCTCGTAAAGTAAATTACAGTCCTCATACATACATGCGAATTTTTTTACCGGGTAACAAAGCATTTTTCAACTTTTACACAAAAGAAAAACGAATAAAAAGTTCATATTTTAAACTATCAATTAACCAACGTGACAATAAAAAAAGAAAAACGTTGCATTCACAAAAAAATTTACAATTGAACAGAAGAACTGAAGGAAAAAAAACGACGAGATCATAAATGTGTGCAAATAAAAAGAAAAGCTACTCATTGTATACAGGTGACAGATAACTTGTATCATATCAGAAAACTCAAAGCTAAAAAAACAAATGTATTATTTGCAGGTGAGCTAAGTGAAAGCAAGGGGCATTCAAAGAAAGACGCTTGCAACCGGACACAAGGGAAGTTCCTGACAAACGAATAGTAACGAAAGAAAAAGTTTATCACAGCATACGGAGGCTAACAAGAGTAAATTGCATTACACATTGAACAAATTACCTATAGAAAAAAAAACATTAGCGAAGATAAATTACATAAGAAAAACGAAAATTTATTTACATTAATGACGTATTGAATGTATTTTAAAATATTCATAAGAAGTGATCAGAATTAAATTTTTTCAAGCAACATAAACATATTCACTAATATTATTCTCGACTCTTGCCATATATCGATGTTCAATTAACCATTCAATTGTTTCTTTAATCAATTTTCTTGATGGCACAAACATGAATTTCAACATTTCAATTAGTTCTGTTTGTAACTGAGTATTATTCATTCGATGTCTCATTTTCATTATTTGTACAATAGCTTCCTGAAAAAAACAGAAGAGAACTTTTTGAGTATTAAAACATAAAAAAAACAGATGTTGATCCGTTTACGAACCTTTGCTCGTTCACCTCGAAGATACATTATTTCTTCATTTTCTTCCTCACGTCCTTTTTCAGTGTTTAACTGTAATCGTTGAATCATATTTATATGTCCACGCGTTTGTACCCGACCACCACGTCTAAAAAATGGATAAAAAACAAACAATGAAAAAATGAAAAAAAAACAATAACAATTGTTTAATTTATTTCAACTTACAATATTGAAAATTCATAATTAAGCCAAAATAGTGTTTTATCTGTTAAATCTTGTACAGTTTCAACTATTGGCTCATAACAAATTAATTGTTGTTTCAGTTTAGCATGTGCAATTAATGTCTAAAGAGAAATAAAAATGATAATATTATAAAAATTTATCAGAAACAAATAAATTGTTTACCCATAATGTTTTTTTTAATTCCATATCCGGTATATTTGTGGCTAGTTTTAAATCACTAAATGTCAATTTTCTATGTTGTCGATGATTCCATGAAAATAAAATGGCGGCTTGTAACGTTGAAACATCCAGATCATATTTGCCAACATTGGATGTAAATGTTAACTGCAAAATAACTCATAAATTGTATAAAAGAATATTTTTTTTTTAGATATAAACTTACTACTCCATTTGATACACTATGATACCATGTTAATTTTCTTCCATTATGATTTTTCTTATAGTATTCTTCAATTTCTGGCATAACATCTTCAATTTGAGCTGGTAATGAGACATTAATTTTTTCGCCACTATGTGGCCA